AATTTGTGTTCCGAAGATGAACGAAGGTCTTACGGGTTTGGAACGACATGAGGGTGAGTAATTAATGACAGAATTTTAATTTCTGTCATCATTTACACACTCAATTTGTTCTAAACCTGTAGATATTTTAAAGAACATTAGTAACAAAACAGTTGATGGTAGCGGTTCACTTCCATAGTATGGGAAAAATACTATGGAAGTCAATGGTTACCGTCAACTTTTTGATTATCGGCATTCTTCAAAAAAAATCTTCTTTCGGGTTTAACAGAAGACAACTTTTTTTCTTTTTGGGTGAACTTTAAATCTGCACAATGTTTAAAGCAGTGGTTCTCAACTGGTTTGGCTTTGACGACCCATGTTTTTCCATGGTCATCAAGCTGCGACCCACTTACAATCAATCAATCAATATATATTATATATATATATATATATATATATATATATATATATATATATATATACACACACACACACACACACAATTTGTTAAAAAACAAAAACAAAGAAAACTTTTCACAAAAATTACGTTAATACAGAATATGAATAATACTGAATAAACAGCCTATAAGGTAAGGCTATTAAATAGCAGTCCCAAACTAGTTTTTGTTAATACAATTAAGTTGGTTTGAGCCACCACAGTCATTTAAACATATACAAAATGACACAAAGTGAAAATAACATGGTATTTTTGGGTTATGGAAACAACAGCGTTACCATGGTGAATATATAATACTAACATGAACTGTTAATGAAACGTGGAAACTGCTCCTGAATAGAATGAATATCATACCTTCATGCAAATCCTTCACAGCTAACACATGTAGTACCAGTTATGTGATTTATCGGTACTGTACTTTTATTTCACGCATTGCATGCTCGTAGTTTCTGCACTTTAGTGAAGTGATATACAGCGTGGCGCCACGTTCTCGCGTGCTATAGAAGAGTGTGCGCTACAACATCAGAAAAACATTAAAGGGGTCATATGATGCAATTTCAATTTTTCCTTTCTCTTTGGTGTTACAAGCTCTTGGTGCATAAAGAAGATCTGTAAAGTTAAAAAGACTAAAGTCTCAAATCCAAAGAGATATTCTTTATAAAAGTTAAGAGAGTCAACCACGCCTACCTAAAACGCCTCGTTCTACGTCACGATGTGGAAAGATCTGCATAACCCAGCCCAAATGTTAACGCAAAGAAAGAAGGCGTAACTTTTATTCTCTCTGTAGTATTGTTGACGCTGCCACCATGTCGTGAAGCCGCTGTGTGTTTCGTTGTGAAAGCGAAACTACTTTGTTTGACCTTCCAAAAGAGGATGATATCCGCTTCGTCATGCCTGGAGCTGATCCGTGCTGGTCGCTGAGGAAATACATCAACTTCGCGCGGTGGCAGTAGCAGTAACTGTAAGTGGACTACTGTAATAGGTAGGCTAAATCAATTGAAAGCTAGTAGGCTACAGTAGGCCTACTATAATTACTATGCTCAAATGAGTTGATGCGTGTTTCTATTATGGCAGTTAAAAGTCATTTTCTTTAGTATTTATTTTCATTTTTAATTCAGTGATTTTAACTTTTAATTTAGTTATTTTAATGCTTTAAAGAGCAATTTTAGATTGTAATGTTCTAATGTTCTGCAAACTATAAAAGGTACAGCTTTAATAAAACCAGAGAGAAAGGCTGCATGGCTAGAAACTGTAAAACAAAACAAAAAAGTCAAATTTTGTGAGACAGTGGTAATATCATTATGTTGCTAATGGTCAGTAGAGGAACTTCGCTTAGTCTGACAGTTAGCCTGCTTTAGACCAGGTTAGTTTCCCAGCATAAGTTGCCACAGTGACTAAGCTTGATCTAGGCCCATGTTACATTTGCTTTATGGAACCAATTTGACAATGAGTCAGACTAACTGAAATAAGCCTGGCTTATTTGGTTAACTTATTTCATTTAACAGGCCTCGAGTCATTAAAAGTGATAATATTTTCTCTATTGCATCATATTGCATCGAATTGTGTTGAATTGAACCGAATCGAAATCGGATCGCACTGCATCGTAATAGGGGTGAATCGTATCGCATCGCATCGGTAGCTGCTTCATATGTATCTTTAATATATCGTATAGTTTACAATGCATCGAGATGCGTATCGTATCGGCCTCAGTGATGGATATGCACATCCCCTAATAAGAAAGTTTTTTATATTTAAAGAATTTGCCACTGACGATTCAAACTTGAGTTTTGAGCAGTGTAGAGTAGCGTTTATAGTTTGTAATTTCTCCGATCACAAATGCAGACATGGTTTTATGTTTACACGGCGCGATGCGATGCAATGCAATGCATAAAAATACAGTATAAGTCATTATAATCCGTAATTATGTCCCCACTGGATGCAACAAATTCCTCGTTTATAATGGGTTTTATTGTTTTTGTCTCATCGCTCCGGCCGGACAGGGCATCACAGTATGTTAAGGGGCGTAACATTTCCGTCACACGCTTGAGGTATTCGGCCAATCACAACGCACTGGATAGCTGGCCAATCAGAGCACACCTCGCTTTTCAGAACAATGAGCTTTGTAAAAATCAACACATTTCAGAAAGGCGGGGCATAGAGGAGCAACAATAATGTACAGTATGTGGAAAATAATGTGTTTTTGAACCTTAAACCACATAAACATATTTCATTACACCAAATACACAACATAATGTTCTTTTTAGCAACATCATATGACCCCTTTAAAGGGGTACCAGTGGCGGTCCAGCCTCACTTCTTTCCTCAAGTAAATTTGCACCTGAACGGCAATCCGTAGCAACTGAATTTTATGGAAAAGCCATTTTGTGTGACATGAAAAAAAAAAGTCTTAAACGTTTTGAGTAACATGGGGTGATTAGATGATGATAATGATTTGCAGAAGGTATAACTAAAGATCCAAACCAAAACTCGTACAGTTTTGAATGGGGAAAAATGCAACGCTCAATATGGCTGCTCAAACGCAGGAAGCCCGGCCTTCTGAATGAAAGAGCCAATCGCTAATTGGTAAAGTCAGCGCGTCACTGCAGCTGCCGTTAGAAGTCCCGGTTGCTATAGAAACAGTCAGCGTTTCTGAGACATGCACTCAGGACTGTGCATGTGCACAGGCTGGTCTAGCCTAAATAATAAGCTTTTTATAATGCTATTTGAGCAAAATATACAACATTTATGACACAGTGATATATCAGATTTCTTTGGTAATTTCAAATATGAAATTTAATCGCAAGCTAAGTGAACAGTTTTGTAGGATTTGATGTTTCCCCATTAAAAGAGATAGGAGTTGCACTTGCATGCCCGAGAGGCGTTTCAAAGATGGCCGCCGAGTGACATGACTTGTCTTAAAGGGACTTTGGTATAACTCAATTGGCCTTTCGCAAGCAGTTTGATTGACAGGCAATCTGACCAATCATAACGCAGAATCTACCGTTTTGTCCGACAAACAAACCAGACAGGAGAGTAGATTAATGTAAGTGGACTTGAACTTGAAAATTATTAGGTGGCAAAATATATTCACTGTAATAATAATAATTGCAGTGAATATATTTTGCCACCTGGTAATTATTATTATGAATAATAACTAGGGTTGCAAAGGGGTGGAACATTTCTGGTAAATTTCCAGAAACATTCCAGAACTTTTGGAAAGTTTATGGAAATTTACTAGACATTTTCCACCCCTTTGCCACCCTAATAATAACATAATAATAATGTAATGAGAAGAATAGTGTTATTATTAATCACATTGTTATTGTTGTTGTGGATATAAAAAGGGAAAAAGTAACTGACTGGTTATGTGATAACTGCAAAAACTATGAGCACCCATAGATAATTGTGATAATTGATGTGGAGTCTTCATCTTCAAGCAAGTGTGCATCAATTGTAACATGTAGCTGAAAGTTTGTTTATGCAATTTAAATTTTTTTATAGACAGTTACTTCCTTGCGTTGACAATTTAATGTGCTGCATTATTTTGCTCATTGCACCCTCCCGTGGCCTCGGGAGACGAGACAAAAGTTTAACCCATCTAATCTGCATATAAAACATTAGAAATTAGATATTTGTTTAATTTTAATTTTGTTTTTGACTGTTAAAACAAAAAAATATTTGTTGTTTGTCTCAATAAATTGAGTTAATTTAAAAATACAGTGGTTAAATGTAAAAAAAAGTTATATTGCTCTTTTTTTAAAAAAGGTTATAAAAAATGTCAATAGTTATCGATACCGAACGATATGAAACATATCGTTGATACATTTTTTAGCTATATCACCTAGCCCTACAACTGGGCAACATGGAATATCCGTTAGATTAAAAACATAACCATAAAAATGGCTCTAAATTTACCACTATAATAAAATGCAAAAGCTCTTGAAGTTTCCATGAGCCCTGGACCGGATGCTGCTTGTGTATGTGAGGATTTTCCCATAAGCTGAGAACAGGTGGGCACAAGGTTGGTGTACCCTAGTGGGCAGAGCTCTGAAGCCCAGCGAGACGTGACGCCAGTGTGTTTTTATACCGCCATGTGCCAAAACTGACAAAGCCACAGGCTGCTTCCTCACAGCGACTGCACCCACAGCCAAAGGTAGACACACTAACACTAACACAACACTAATGTTATGGCCTCCGCTCTGTGAGGACTGTACCAATGTGCCAAAAGGCCACAGGGCAAAACAGCAACAACACATGTACACACACCATAGTGATGCCATCTGTCTGACCTCATGGTGTGCAGCGAGGACTGTAAATCCAGCCAGTTTAGGGCATTTTCAGTGAGGAGTCGTAATCTCTCTGGATTTATGTCTGTGTGTGTGAAGGGATTTTACTGCACTGAATCGCAGGAACTCATGATGGCATTCATCACACACATGTGTATGAACAGCAGACTCGCTCTGCCAGATATACACACCACTAATATTTCCAGACTGGATCATGCTGTAGCTGTGATACGGTGAACTTTGACATATAAGCGCAGCTGCATTCGTATGTGACTTACATTGAACAGATTGGTTTTATTCCTCTCGCAGAAAAGTCCTTGTGCCGGCATGTGCTTCAGCTGTTGCCATGGGACACTGCTCCCTAGCAACACGTCTCGTGCCCATTGCAGGTTCTGTGAAAACACAAATATATTCAGTCAGCTCTGTATGCAGGAGGGCGAGAGAGCGTGTGATGACTTGAACTGAGTGAAGTCGGAGTAAAGCCTGACCGCTTCACTCGCGCGCACACTCCTGATGGAATACTATAGTCTTGCTTGACTGTGCAGCATATACTAATTTAAAAAACAGTAGGAAGTATGTGAAGGAGTATGAATTAGGTAAGAATAAACATCTCCATTATGGTAGATTGTCACATGACTTCACTGTAGCATGCATTTATAGTATATACTGCATACTGCCCACTAGTTTTGAAAAACAGCATGCAATAGGTAGCAATAAACCTTTTTAAACTCTATAAATCTACAGTGTCACGTGACTTTAAATCAGTGATAGTGCATACTGTATATTGCATACTATTTTTGACAAAATATTTGATAGTATGGAGTAGTTTGCGATAAAGATTTCTAACTGTATTAAACTACAGTGTCTTGTGACTTGAATGCAGTATGCAGTTATAGTACATACTGTATATTGCATACTAATTTTGAGAAAATAATGTGATAGTACACTCTAAAAAAGTGCTGGGTTCAGCCAGTTGGGTCATTTTATTGGGTTATTTTTAATATTTTTACCCAGGTGCTGGGAAGTTTTTACGCTGGATTATTTTTTTTCCTACCCAACCGCTGAGTTGAGCCTCTCCGACAAAACAGCCCAGCTGCTGAGTTACAGTTAGTGCGTGGGTTTTTTGCATCCTACAGGAGAGAGCGGTTCTCAGCACCGCCGATTTGGTGCTCTCTTTCTGGCGAAATAAAGGTTTGTATACAATTTATTTCATTTATAAAGTCTTTAATGTGATATCAATTATATTATTTTACACAACGCAACATAAGGACGAGATCATGTCAGTCAGCTGCGTTAGCAGCAGTCCTTTCGCACGATAGAAAAGCCTTTTGCCTTGCATAACACAAATGGATTTTATTCGATATAATATGGAGTTTAATTTAATTTGATGTTAAAATATGTTCTCTAATCTCAGTACTGTTTGTTTATGGGCAGGTTTTGGAGGCTGCGGTTTAAAGTTCGCAGTTCCCCCGGCAAACAGCAGCCGGCTCAGATTTCGGCGGCACACCGGCACGAGAATTAGCACTATTTCGGTAAACAAAAGTGATTACAGAGAACTGCTGAATACACTTAAATTAAAATGCTACTTTTAAATATGCCTTTATTTCTAAAATGGTTATTAAACCAGTTTAAATGTATGTGATATTGTAAACTATGCTGCATTCACCCAAATGAATTAAATTCGTCTAAGCATTTTGTCCATGGGTGTTCTTGCTTAATAATAAATGTTCATCTTTTGATTATTGCTGTTGCCTATAGTAATTCTGTGTGTGATTTTAATTCCCAGCCCATTTTAAGCCAGCAATATAATAATTAAAAAAAAATAGATGAATTAAAATAAAACAACCTAGCATGGTGGGTAAAAACGTTTAACCCAACCAGCTAGGTCAAAATAACCCAGCATGTGTTCTGTCCAATATTTACCCAGTGCTGGGTTGCCAAATAAGCATTTCTAATTGTATTAAACTACAGTGTCATGTGACTTGAATGCAGTATGCAGTGATTACATACATATTACATAAGTGCATACTGTATATTGCATATTCGTTTTGAGAAAGTAGTATGTGATGATAGTATGGAGTAGATAGTGATAAACATTTAAAATTGTATAACACTGCATTGTCACGTGACCAGTGCAGTATGCAATAATAGTATATACTGTATATTGCCTACTAATATTGACAAAACAGTCTGCAACACAGTATGCAGCAGGTAGAAATAAACATTTTAAACTGTATTAAACTACAGTGTCATGTGACTTTAATGAAATATGCAGTTAAACACTGTATACTGCCTACTAGTTTTGAGGTAGCGATAAACATTTCAAACTGTATTACACTAGAATATAAAGCTTACAGTGATAGTATAGACTATACACTGCCTACAGTTTCTGAAAAAGGTATGCATTAGATAGTAAGCATTTCAAATTGCAATATGATACATTACTGACACATGAAAACCATAAAAAATGTTTTTTTTTAAATGTGTGTGAAATCGCATGCAGTAGGCTGTAGTGTCAAGTCCTTACTGCAGTGAGCAGATAGTACATACTGCCTACTGATTGTTTTTAAACATATGTCTTGTACATAGAGTTTGCAGTAAGTAATAATAAATGTTTGAAGTGTACTAAAGTGAACAGTATGTGAACTAGTATGCTGCATGTAACAAATTTTTTTTCAATAACATTTCTTTCAAAGTGTTTCAAATCATATTATGCTATACAATTGTCACATAACCTCACAAAATATGATTATTTTGCAATTTTAGTCCAATTCTGAGTAAAAATGTCTTCTTGTAGTCAGGGTTGCCAGGTATGTTTAATAAAACAAGCCCAATTGCTACTCAAAACTAGCCCAATCATAGCCAAAACGAGCCCAATAGTGTTCCGGGGGAAATTGGCTTGCAAAATTGTGTTCTGTGGGGGCGAGGGGTTTCGTTTCAACCCACGGACTAAAAAAAAAAACCTGCGGAGACAATATGAAAATAGCCCACAGGAAGACTGGGGACTTGGCAACATTTCGTGTTTATTTGTCACACTGGAAATTGGTTAAGTCACATTGCATTGTGGAACTGCAAATACAGTACTGTAAATTTTAATCTAACCTAGCAGGCCATCCAGATATTCTATACATAAAAACTTTAAATGAACTGATTAACTGAACCCAGGAAAACACAGAAACAACTTTAAAATGTAGACAAACAGCTCCCATTAGATGGCTAAAGACTGAAAGCTTAATCCAAACTCCTGTCACACTCCAATATAATTACACTGTATCATCCCATCAAATCCATTTCCACACCGCTAATTCACCTTTAATGAACACATAACATTAGAACGTCTGACTTCTTTATTAGGATACAGACACGCACGTATCTCACTGTCACACACACTGTACAAACGAGAGCTCAAACACTGTTTGGGGTCATTCATTAAATCAGAGAGCAGCATTTCCATGCTTTCGCCTTGGGAACGAGTCGGGTGTGATGAAATGTGTTGTGGCGGTTATGAAATCTCTGGCTTGTCATGGTGGGGTGATTAAATTTCAGAGCTGAACAATCTCTTTGCTCAAAGATCAGACAGATTTCTCAGTGTGAAGGGATGGAGATGACATATGGGAGTCTGTTTGGTAAGAAAGTGTCTGAAAGGAGCACAAACACACATGCAATGGGGAGAGAGAGACATCGAGAAAGAGAGAGATGATATAGTGACTCCAAGTCTGACATGTAATAGAAATTTTTAATAATGTATTGGCTTCTTGTGCATGCAATCATAATAAGGACTGAAACTTCATGCTTCAAAAAAGGATGAAAAAGCACCATAACAATAGTTAATGTGCTTTATTTTAAGTAGGGCTGTTATCGTTAAACGCGTTAACGCATGCGATTAATTTTACAATCCTTAACACGTTAAAATAATTTAATGCAAAATTACTGAAGCACAATTTCTATTCTAAACCTTTAACCCAATTTTGCTTCTCTGCTTGCGATTAGATCATTTTAAGCCACTAAACTCTGGGAAAGTTTTCAGTCTGATGATCCAGTAAGCGAATGCATTCAAACAATCCGTCTAAAACAGCGCTAATATAAAGGAAACCGAGACTCGCGTTGCGTTTTCAGTGAATTATTAATTACAGTGTGTTTCACTTTAAAACACGAGCTCTAATAATCTGAGATTAATAATCTGAGATTGTCTCTGAAGAGCGCGAGCCCTCACACTTGCTTGCGTGAAGTACAGGCTGAACGGGTTGTCAACACATCCCACCGCTGTATGTCCAGATGAGACGCACACTACGTTTTCTCGACTTGATAACCAGTCTCGCTAGTAAAGTTTTGATGGATGAAGACTGCAATCAAGGTAAAGACAATTGCAATGGCGTACAGGAGTCATACAGTAAGCACGTGTGAGTCCGTTATAATAATGCGTGTACGACGCACTGATCGCACATTGTATTTATGCACCGGCATAAATTCACGGTTTCCACACACATTCACAATAATATTTTGATTTGTCATGTGTATGTTGCTGTGTTTAGTTTTTCTGAATGGATCCGTGTACTGTAGTAGATATATGCAGTCAACAGGCGGCTGGTTCAGGATTTTTTTGGCATCTCCATATGGTCCTGTTCGGTATCGCAACTTGGCTTCTCTAAAAAGTAAAAAAAAAAAAAGCTCTTTGCTGTTGCACTGTACACATACTATACAATACAATACATACAATACAAATTTGGTTCTTTGGTGTCCTTTTGGAGTTTCTAAGTGTTTTTTGGAAAGACAAAGCTTGCTTTTTGAGAATCACCCTTCAATCTTTTGGTTTACTTTGCTGGATATAGCAAATGATGACAAAATAAAAATTTGAAACAAGATAAATGGTCTATGCTTAATTTCATGAAGTGTGCGATTAATCGCGATTAATCACAGAAAAAGGATGTGATTAATTAGATTACAAATTTTTATAGATTGACAGCCCTAATTTTAAGTCTTCTCATATAATAGAATTAAATTTTAAATCTTTATTCAGTGATAATCGTCCCTGCCAGGGCTCTGGACTACGACTTAACATTTTTCCTGCTTGAAGTTGCACTGGTGCCACTACCATTTTGATTAACCTATAAACACTTAAAGAACCAGGCAATTGCTACTTTTCTTATATGAACTCATGATCTTCAGTGAATAACACAAAGCTATCATACTTCTTCAGAAGGCTTGACATATAGTGCATAAGTCTACTATAAGATACTTTTACGGTGCTTTTGTCATTTTCAGTAATTCACTGTTCGTGTTTCAAGTAAGACAGGAAGTTGCAATGACAGGAGTGTGAGTAAACGATAACAAAACTGTCATATAGGAGTGAAGCATTCCTTTAGTTATCGTAATTCAAGTAGTCTACCCTCTA